ATCGCCTTCGTCGAAGCGTTAGAAAAAATCTAACTACCGAAAGTGTTGGCGTGTGTTGATTTTTAGAGAGATCAAAAGTTACAATATTATCATAAAAGGTAAGCTTTTTAGTGAAATACCTCTAGATTGTTGAACATCCGTTATTATAAGCGCCATTTTGGTTTATTGCAGGTAAACATGAACAAGAAAATGGAAAACCAGTTAATAAAATGGTATGAAGGTAGCGATATAGAACCACTAGATTCTGATAAGGACTTAAGTGATGTTCGTTCTGAACACAGTATCCACAATACAAATTTTGAGCAGTCCACACACGATCTACCCAGTGATCCTGAAGATGCCATGGAAAAAAGTGGCCAAGATAATGGTTATCCAAGATTTTATGGCAAAGATAAAACACCATGGTTGAAACATAAGAAACACACTCCCAAAGATAAGACCAAAGCTTGTAATATTGTTACGAACTTACCTGGGGTAAAAGCAATTAGCAAACGTTGGCCGTTTACTGTTTTTTGCAGCCTACTAAATATTTCAACTATAAACAGCCAAATAATTTACAACAATAACACTAATATTGTAACATCTCAAAGAAACTACATTGCGGAACTTGGCAAGCAACTGTTAATGTCCCATCTTCAACGACGTTCTAATATCCCAAATCTGCCTTTTCAGTTGAGACTCGGACTTGAGAGAAAAGCCATCAGTTTCTCAAGGGGCAACTCCAATTATAAAACCAAGATGTTATTTTTGCCCTGTAAGGAAGAACAGGTTTACCCAACATTATTGTACTAACTGTAAGTTGCCGATGTGTAAAGAGCACACTGGTTTAACAAATTTTACTTGCCACCACTGCCTAGAAGAGGAAAAAATCTAATTTTATGCGTAATGCGTATATTTTTTTGGAATAAATTCCCTTATTTGTTTTGTTCTAGGGTAATGTAATTATTCTTTTAGTTTATCTAGTGTTTTTTTGCAGTTTTGTTTTAAAAAAAATAAGTTTATCATTTTTGTGAATTAATAGCCAATAAACTTAACCAATAAGTACTAATGACTCATTTATTTGACCTATGCCCATATGTTAGATAAAATGCGAGTGATGACGTAATTTTTTGAGGTACGAGTGATGGAGGATTAAACATTCTTTATAAAAAGACTATAAAATAATATTAATACAAACTTTTTCTAAGCTAAAATCTTAGCTTTTCGATAGGTTGATGGAAAGCTGGTTTTTACCAGATTGTTAATTGATAATGTTAAAAAAATGTAATAAAAATAAAGTATACGGCAGTTCTACAGAGAGCAGCAAAAAATTGGAGGCTAGATCTTGATGAGGACCATTTGGAAAACGTAGAATACAATCACATCACAAAAAACCAATCAAAGAAAATAAAATAGATAAATTGCTGAAGCGAGACAAATCATATTAAAGAGAATATGAAAGATGTAGTAAAGAAATAAAAGAAATTTGAAGAAAAATTAGGAAATCAACAAATTTGACACAGACTGCATACATGTCTCAAATCAATATTTTCAAATTAATATAATAATCTAGAATCCACAAGAAAACTTTACTTTACTTAATCAGTAGATCCATTTGTACCTTTCGGCGTTGGGCCAAGGAAACTAAGTTCCTGTAATCTAGCTGTTTTTTTCGAACACGTTGTTAAATTTTTAGAAACTTTAAACATCTAAACTAAATACAACTTCTGCAACTGCACTTGACAAACGTCTTCCTATTGGCCATAAATTATCGAACTATTTTAGTCATGTCTATTCGGCACGGACTTCGTTTTTCCGCCTCGTCTAGCACAATCGAGGAAAGTGGAGACATGAAGAGATGGATGGGAAGTCATTTGAAAGTTGGCTCCAAAATATTTTACCAACACTGGAAAAAAATGCCGTAATTGTGATGGAAAATGCCCCTTACCGTTCGAGAAAATTAAAAAAAAATTCCCATTATGACTATAAAAAGAGATCAAATTGCTTCGTGCAAGGCAATTTTAGAAATCGTTACACAACATAAAGGCGAATATAAAAAGTACATAGCAAACGAACCGGTAAGAAGCACAAATAGAACAGTGTTAAGGTTGCCACCGTACATGGTGGATGCGAAGAAGAGATACGTCGACGCCTTACAATGTCCAGATCAGCAACAGTCAAACTTACTAAAATCTGGAAAGATACGGACATAACCAGGAACACGAAACTGCGCCTAGTACGGACGCTTATCTTTCCTATCGCTACCTTTGCTTCAGAAACGCATATACACGACGTATAATGGCCTTTGAAATGTGAGTATATCGTAGAATGATGCGCATACTACTGGCAAAAACTAAGCTTTTTAGGATGGGTTGACTGAAATATGGTTTTCCCCGCAGCTATAGCTAGTAGTCAATGGGCTCTGAAGAGATGACAATAGATTAGTGGGATAAAGAGGAGCGATTAATTACAGGGACCCGATCCGTCAACTGCGCATGTGTGAAACGACTGCGTTCGAAATATTTCGAACCTTCAAATGAAAATGTTAAGCGGTATCTTGCCTTGTCGAATGAAAATTGTTTTGAATAGTTCCATATTTACGTAATTAGTAAATATGTAAGTGAACTGTTTTTAATGTTGTAAAATTTTCTCAAATCAGTTTAAGCTTTCTACGCCGATGCAATGTGGAGAAAATGTGCATTTAAATAAGTGTCTGGAAGATTTCAGTAGCTTTTTTTTTTCAAACCGAAAGGACTGATAATTAAACTATCTGGTGCAAAGTTAACAATCTCCATAAGCTACTACAACAAAATAAACAATCTTGGACGGTTAATATCAAAGTCGTCAATATACATTAGGTTAATGTGATTTTCTTTCTTAATACTCGGAGTACAAGTTATTTATTCTCTATATTTTAGTTATGAATGTAACAACTATGTACCTGTAGAAATAAATATTGTAAAATTTCCTATTTTTAATCCTAATCGTTTTTATAAACGTGCTCAGATTTTTTTAGGTTGGAGATTGTGCATCGTTGTCACTTTTGATGTTATTTCAAAGATTGCACATGCGCAGTGGACGGATCGGGTCCCTGTAATTAATCGCTCCTGGATAAAGCGGTCGAGCATGCCGATGTTTAGCAATTAATGCAATAGTCTGCAGTTGTAAATCAACTTTTAGTCTCCGGTCAGTACTTTCAAAATAATTCGAAGAAAAGAAAACACTATGACAATAATAAACTTACTACCAGAATTATTAGATTTTCTTTAGGAAACAATATTCAACATAGACTCTTCTATTTTTCTTTTTTTTTAATTTTAAAAACATTGTAAAATTATACAAAATTGATAAAAATTACCTAAAATTAAATTTTATTCAGATTTTTTAAAGTGCGTGGTGTGAACCTTATTATAAATAATATTAATGCATTTTTCAAAATGAGTACAAAAATATGTGCTTAAAAAAACGCTTCTTGTAGAAATTTGTTTTTTGATACTTATAGGCTATTCCTGAGTACTGTTTTGTAAACGTAAATAATTTTAAAAATGCATAAATAATTGTATATTATATAGAAAATGGCTTAAATTCTTTAAATATATTTATATAAAAACTGCCTTCTAAACTAATACAACATTTTACCGCTTAATGCAAAAATTGTTTTATAACAATTTTTGGCACGAAAATATTTTGGCATTTCTTGTAAAACGTTGTATTGTCCTTATTCCTAAAAATTAATAACAAAGTATAGTAATTAAAATATTGTTTAAAAAATATTGAACCAAGTGTGCTAGTGGGAATGTTTTTTTATTTATATCAAAGCTCTTCCCAGCTTTGATCAACAATATCCCGCCATTATACAAAGAATATTAAAGCAAATATAAAACACAAAGGGTGTGTTAGGGAACACAGATATTACACAGATATTACAGATATGATTATGGAACATAGTGACTTTTGTTCATTGACACTAATTTTTTTTTAATTTGCAATGCATATTATCTAATATTTTTTTAATTCCAACATATCTTAAATCCACTTAGTCGCAGAAAGGTGTCTATTTCGAAGAGGAATGGAAATTGATCTAGACATAATAGATACAATTGAAGCCAACAAACTACAGTATAAAAACATATTCGTATAAAATTTCATTACAATGTTGCCAGTAGTTTCGGCAAAATCGTAAAAAATGCGTAAATTTTTTTTCTTCAACGTCCTGTATCTTGAAAACGGATGGCGTTACAAAAATTTTTTACTAAGCAAACCCCAATTATTTTTCAATTTTTTACCTAGCCTAGAGACGGGGTTACCTTTTTTTGAAACATCCTGTATATACGGGGTTGTCGCTAGTGAGAAGACACGTCAATGAAAGTTACTGTGCAAGATTATATGGATCTAATCAATTCATTGAAATAACATTGAACGAAATTATCCTTATCTGTAGTTAACAATACTTACAGTTATTAAAGCTTAGCTACCATCAAATATATTACTCTTCTCATTCTGTAAATATTGATATACAGAGTGGCCCAAAAGTCTGGAAACGGCTAATTATCTCGTAAAATGCTAATCATAATTGTACAAAATTTAAGGTACACCTATTTTGGGATACGGAGATTCCATATTTGATATTTACAATGTTGCCAGATTTGCCGTTTTTCTTATATTATTAGTAACTTTGGTTTTTCAAATACATCACCCTGTATATTCATCAGTCATTATTGGAATCTCCTATTCAATACGAGTTCAACCATATGTAACACATATGATTTTATGTAATGTGGAAGGTTAATATTTAACTCTTGAAAGAGTACTGTAACTATTCTAGTGACGTTGGAAGGTGCTTTTATGCATAAGAACAAAAAAAGGGTACTATGCGATAACAGGTAGTTCTAGAATCACTGTAATGTTCTTGTAACGCATTTAATAGACGCAAAATCCAATAAACATTTCTGCTAAAAATTTTTCTGGAAGTAAAACTATTCTCCTTATTTATTTTTTGACAAATTTTTCTTTTTTTGTTTAGCTTATATTAGAATAACGATGTTATAAATACATTAGATTGATTGTTGATAGTATTATAGCCTATAAGTGATGCTATACTTTATCGTCGGAGTATTGTATCTATTAACAAAAATATCACATTATTTTTAGTAGAACTTACATCTTCAAATGCACGGTCCATATGAGTCTAGAAATCGTTCTCAAAATTTAAATAATTTCATTATTTTCTATATTTTTTTTTTGTTACTGTGAGAAGAATTTGTTGAATAGAAATCGAAATGTCAATAGAAAAACTAGCTTTCCAATTTTTGGTCTTTGTTCAGTATATATTAAAAATCGATTAATATCCACTTAGATCTTCCCTGTTACTTGATCTAACACTAATGTAGTTGAAATTTGATGTTCACCAGGAACTCCATTCTTACTCAGTTACTCGATAATATGCAATGCAAAGTTATTGGTGTAAAATGATATTCAACTACTTAACTAGCTGAAGAACATATATATGTATAACACCGAGCTGCCATAGAGTTATGTAGTTTTAAAATATCGTGCCAACATCGAAAACAAACTGGATAACTGGAAATACTAAGCTTAGAACGGTACTGTTAGTGCTAAAAATACTAATTGCATTTTTGCTTCATTGTAGAAGTATTTTAATTGAAAACTCCCTGGTATATTGGTTATCACATATTAAAAAATTGATTGTTATCGATTTACTTAAACCTGGGATGTTTTTATGTCGAAAATTTGAGCGGTAACAATATTAAAACCAATTCTGAAAGAAGAGATTTCAGTATTTTTTGCAAAATCAGTCGTGACAAATATGTATGTCGTGAAAACACTAAAATCTCATTTCCAATATCTCATACTTTGAGAAGTATTCGTTACAATATCAGATCACAAACACAGCTACAACTAATGCAGCAGAAACGACCACATCGTTAACTCCTGTTATATCTCCGCTGCACTCGAGGTCATCTCTTGGGTATGATGTAGATGGGGGAGATTCGTCACCAGCCTTGCAACGTTCACCTCTTGAGCTAAATTCTTTCTGTAATTTTAAAAGGTACGATAAAAAAAACAACCAATATTTAAGTAAACAAAAAATTTAACTTCTTAATCAAACTTTGTTTAATTTAGAAAATTCACTTAAGAAGCAAAAAAATATGAAGAAAAAACATTAAATATTAAGTTTCTGCTTGCTATAGAAATATTGAGAATACAATCAACAGTCTTAATGAGTGAGTTACTTAGCTAAATAGTGTTGAATCTGTAGAAATTTTAAGACTAACTTTAATGAATTCTAACTCAACTCTTCGCAGGAAATCTAGCATTTCTTGTTCATTTGCTACTATAATGGCAGTGTTATCACCAAATCTTTAATTGGAGATTTTTGTTCTAGCCATTGTTACCCCATCGATTGGAGTAATAATCCATAAATATTGAATAAGTCAGGTGACAAATCGCATCCTTAACTAACTCTCCTCTCTGCTCTAAATTGGCTTGACAACTTCTGATCTATTCATACTGTTGCCATATTGGACTGATACAGATTTTTAATAAGTGTCACCAGCTGTATTACAAGATGATGTTTCCAGTTAGCATATCTAGCCTATCCTACTGAATTCCTATCTTCACCTCTACGAAGTGCGGCTTGGGCTGCACGGGAGAACCCCGGAGAAACTGAGCAACCCTGCTGGAGATTGGGTAACCAATCCCAGTGGAAGGCAGGTCAGGGCAGACGAGGAGCGGAGAAATGGTCCTCCGAAAAGGGTGTTTCGCTATGGACCAGCAATCCGTACATGGAAAAAGAAAGATGCTACAAATCGAATAATATTGCGTCAGAATATACATGGAATACGGATTAGACCCAAGCTACGAAATAAGGACATTTTCTTAGAAATATGGAACGTGATAAGCTGGTTCAGGCCCGAAATTGCAACACATGCCACAAAACAGCTTCAAAAATATAAGATGGATTCAGAAAATGAGATGGACAGGATCGGGAAGCATGCAAATAGAAAATTTCCACAACTACAGGGCAACAAAGACAGTACCAGTTAGCCGAATCCAACCTCGATGTACACCAAATCTTCGTGGACTTAAAACAAGCTTACGATTCTGTTAGCAGAGAAGCATTGTGGGAGACCATGGTAGAAATGGGAGTACCTGGAAAGCTGGTACGTTTAGCACAAGTGAGTAGAGAACAGCAACAGAGAACGCTTCCGCACGGATCAGAATTGGCAGCACTACGTCGGAGGAATTTCTCATTGACACCGGGCTTAGGCAAGGAGATCCTCTCGCCCCCCTGCTATTTAATTTTGCACTGGAACATGCGGTAATGAAAGCTCAACCACAACTGACAAACGGATTTGCCGCCCAAGGATACTATATGGCCGTTTGAGGATGATGTGGACAGAATTGCACAATCCACCAGAGATGCAAAATAAGTTTCACACTATTCGAAAAAGGAGCCAAGGAAGTTTCACGGACAGGACGTGGCAGCCAGGATCATTGCAGGAAACATTACTCATTAATGACCGTACTACAAAAATACTCTCAATACAAGCAAAAATAAGAGTGTATAAGACAATAATTCGTCCCACAATAACGTATGGAAGCGAGACATGAACTCTGAACCAGCGGGAAACAATAAAATTACTGGTACTGGAAAGAAAGATACTGCGGACTATCTATGGGCCTTGCAGAGAAGAGACAACAGGAGAATGGAGAAGAAGACTCCTGAACGCCACATTCTGGGAAAGGGCCGATGGCAGAAGGTCAGTTGGTCCCCCAAGAGAAAGATGTAAGGACGCAGTAGCCAGTGATCTACGCAAAATAGAATACAGCAATGGTAAATAGCTGCTCAGGACCGACAACAATGGAAGGAAATAGTAAACGCGGCCAACACTCACATAGAGTTGTAGAGCCAAATGATGATGATGATGTTGATGTCACCAGCTGTATCCGGTGCACCGATATTTATTAAAATGATAGAGCATAGATTTTCTGCTGGAGTCTCGTTATTTCTATATAAATATTTTGCCACTAAAAGCAGTGACACCGAAATCAGATGATACCCATCCTTTAGACCTGGTACAGGATTCTAGAATACTGGGATACGATCGGTTTGAAACAAACGGTTTCTATGAAAAAAATATCCGTTAAAACTGTAGATATTGGTTATCGGAAAACTCTTACTGGATACGTGAGACTCATACTCAATATCCTCAAAAAATTAATGTTCTTACGTGACCATATAAGTAGTAAGAGATCATTGAATACCTCCCAAACATGGATAGGAGAAAGAGGTACTATTGAAAGACCAGCTAGATCACCACATCTTACACAGTTGTTTTTTTCTGTATTGATATACCAAAAGAAAAGTATACGCAATAAAGGCTACATATTAATTTGAAAAAACTGGTTTATTGAAAAAACTTAAATAAAAAACATGTTTAAAGGTAATGGATTTTGACAAGAGCTATGAGTCATGCCGATTTAGTACACAATGTTTACCTGTTATTTACAAGGTCATAGTTCTTGTCAAAATCCATTAGCTATAACATTTATTTTAATGTAATTAAGTTAATATATTTATTTGGTTTAAGAAATTATACGTTTTTTCAAAATGTCTCCATGTATTATTCGTAATGGCCATAAATATGATCATCTTATAAAGACGCGTTCGAAACTGTAAAATAATATAGGGTGTTTTATTGAAAATTGTCACTGTGGTGACACTACAGATAAGAATTTTCTAAACCAACTTCAAAAATATGTATATTTGTTCGTCTACAATGTATTTGTTATTATTTACTTACGGCACATATTTCTTTGCATGGAGGGCAGACGATGGCTCCCTTATGAAGCCAGCCATTGCTAATGATCCTAATAGAAATTTCCTGGTTGGCATGGTAACATTCATAAGAATAATTTCCCACCTAAAAATTATATTATAATTTAAGATTACAGTTAATACAATGAATTTAATTTTAAAAATAGGATAATGTGTAACAGTTCGTCGATACGAGAAACAATTCCAGATAAAAAGAGTAAGTTCTTGCAGTGGCACACCCAGGGGGGTTTTGGGACCCCAAATCCGACACTGTTACTCACAAATTTTAAGGACTCAAACTGGATGTAGCATAAAAAAAATCGGTTCCCAACCAAAACCCCCCGCCAAAAGGCACTGCACGCTTTACACAATAATAAGGCTAACGGGATTTGGTTTCAACAGGATACAGCATCAACTCACAATATTCGAAGAGTCCACAAATTGTTTTGCCTTCGAGATTGTTGTTCCAAAAGTTTCAAAGAAAAACTTGAAGTCGAGAGACAAACCCTCATTAGAATTTCGAGAATTGTCCTAAAAGATGACCAATTTTAATGACAATCACAATCCCAAGTTGGCACTCGATAGTCAACAATTCACTGATCTATTAGAGAACACTCACGGTAGTAGTGATGCATTAAGCATTGTTAAAAACTATACCCTACATATTCCATCTCTTATAGAAATGATAAATGAAATACATTCGCAGGCTGAAGATCGAAATATGAAAATTAAATGTACTAGACTAAGTAAAAAATTAACTAAACAACTGCTCGAACATGTTGGTTCATTTGACTTAGCTATAATTATCTCTCTGATATATCTCAAAGCTAATTATTTAAATAAAAATATAATTCATGTATAATAATATTTTACAGTGGAATTTAATCAGTTTTCACACCCGCCTACCCTTATTTCAGGTACTTATTACGTCAGGACAGTCAGCAGGGAAGGACCTTTTACATCCGACCTACACAGACTGCCCCATCTAAATGTTAGAATGAAGGGATGGATGAGTAGGTGTGTCTAGATGAAAGTAAGGAATGACTGAAGTTGAATGAGACTAAGTATAGATAAATGGGTGGATGAGAAAGAGTGAATAGGTGAAGGTATGAACGACTGGAGTTATTCGTAATCTCCCGACCGCCCTCTTTCCCGTCCTCGGTAACTTCGCTGTGCGGGGAAGGCGTCCGTGACGCTGACCAATACATGGAATTCACGCTGGGGGTGTTAGGGGGAGCTATGAGTAAGGTCGACAGGTCAGACTCGATAAGAACGGTTCCAGACCCGCCCGGCGGAGAAAGAGGAGATGAGTTTAGTCGGTAGGCGGTCTCCGGCACACCAGGGACACCTTCCCTGACGATCTTTTGAAGATTCTCACCTCCAAAAAAAAAAAAAAAAAAATGCTCAGTGGCGGTGTTGCGATATATTCTAAAACCGATTTACAAGTAAACAGAATCACACAATTAATACAAACAAAGCAATAGCAGTAACAGTAACAATAGGTACTAATCAAAAAATGAACGTATGCAACATTTATATTCCCCCGAGCCAAAATATCCAAGGAAATGAAGTTTCCAACTTAATTATGCAAATTCCATCACCAAAATTAATTCTTGGGGACTTTAACAGCCATAATCTTCTATGGGGTTCCAAAAAAACAACTAAAAATGAAAGTTATTAGCAAACGTAATCAATAGCCTGAATTTAACAATAATGAACGACGGAGCTAAAACTTGTTTCGACGCAGCTACTGGAAATTTTTCAGCAATTGACTTGTCTATTTCTGACCCATCGTCGTTACTAAATCACATATGGACAACCATAGACGATTGTCTACGGTTGGGACAGTGATCATTATCCAATAATAGTAACAAAAATTTCCAACCCCACAACAAAAACCAATCACTACAACCTGACAACTCTTTTCTTACTCAGTCACCGTTATCAAATATGAATATAAAAACACATTTGCAATTTCAATTAGGGATCAAAAACAATTTAAATTCTATTGAAATTTTTAACTTTCCCTCAACACATTTAGCAAACGTAAACACGCCACATCTCTGGTTAATACCTTTGCCTACTTTGAATTTAGAACTATCATCATATTATAAATCTAAAATTATCCACAAATAATTCTAAGCTTATGATCAATGCTTATCTTGCGGATCAAAAATTATATGACGTCATATGTTTTTCGGAGCACTGGCTAAGTGAAGAAAATTTAAAATTAATTAACATCTCCGGATTCTCATTAGCTAATTTCTTTTGTAGGGTAAAAAAGAAACAAGGCGGAGTTGCAATTTATATAAAAGAAAATCTTATGTATTCTTCTCTTAATTTAAATGAATATAATGTAGAGCAAAGTTCTGAGTTTTGTGCAATTTATGTACCTTCAATAAAAACCAATATTTTAACTGTATACAGATCGGGTAAGGGTGACTTTGACTTATTTTTGGTGAATTTTGAAAATGTCATAACATCCTTGATTAGTAAAGCTAACAAACTAATCATACTTGGAGATTTTAATATAAATTTTAAAATTGAATCTGACCATCTTTTTGATATTCAAAATCTATTAACATCTTTTGGTCTAAAAATAACTATAAACGATTATACTAGAATCACATCCCAGTCCAGAAGTTGCATTGACAACATTATGACAAATTTTTCTGAAAATATATATAGAGTGGGCGTATTCGAACCTTGTTTTTCTGACCATCGAGCTCAATTTTTATTTATTGACTCAGAGGATAAAGTTATTGACACTAATCAAATATTTCAACGGTTTATTACTTCTTCTGGTTTACAGAAGCTTAAACGTGCGCTAGCTATTACAAACATGGACTTTTTCTACGATATTAATAATGATCCTGATTCTTTGACAGTCTTTCTTACCGAAACTTATAAAAATTTAATATTACAGTATTTTCCACTAAAAAAAGTACGACAAATGACTGAAAAAGCACCTGTGCAATGGTTTAATAATGAATTAAGGTCTAACAGATCTAATATTTCTCTTATCAAACACATTGCAGAGGCCACTAAGGATCCCGATTTGTTCAAAGTATATAAACAACAAAAAGTTGAATATAATCGGCAATTAAAAATTGCTAAAAAGTCAGCTTACTGTAATTTTATTACTAATTCCAATAATAAACCTAGAGACTGCTGGAAAATAGTAAATTTCGAAAGAAACTACACTAAATCCAGTTCGGTACAACCTGATCTACCTCCAGACGAAATGAATCAATTTTTTAGTACAATTGCAGAGAATATAATTACATCTCTTCCCACCATTAACATCGATGTCCTCGTCAATTATAGAAATTATCCTTCTCCGAGCAAGTCATTTTTTTTTCGGCCCGTTCTGGAAGAAGAGGTCTCTCAAATAATAAAGTCGCTTAGTAATTCTAATTGTAGGGACGTTCACGAGATTAATAGCAAAATTTTAAAAGAAACTTACCAAATAGTTTTAACACCTTTTACTCATCTTATTAATTTAATTCTATCCACCGGAGTATTTCCAGAAGTACTAAAATACTCAAAAGTACTACCAATCTACAAAAAAGGTGATTCCTCAAAAATTGACAATTACAGACCCATAAGCATTGTTTCTACTTTTGGGAAAGTGATTGAAAAGGTTATCAAACAACAATTTTATTCCTATTTTGAGTCAAATAATTACTTTAGCAACTCACAATATGGATTTAGAAGTGCTCGTTCTACTACGAACGCGGTATTTAATGTTGTGAGCGAGGTGATTGAGGGGCTTGAACGCGGCAATCGCATAGCAATTTCTCTTTGTGACTTATCAAAGGCTTTTGACTGCGTTTCACACGACATTTTGCTCCACAAATTAAATTACTATGGAATCAGAGGTATCCCTCTTAAGCTTATAACTTCTTATCTATGTGGCAGACACCAGGCGGTAGTGTCTAAAGGTCATCTCTCTGATTTTCTATCCGTAAAACATGGAGTCCCACAAGGTTCGGTCTTAGGACCTCTTTTGTTTATTATTTATGTCAACGATCTGCCTAAATTCATATCTCCGTACAAAACCATACAATTCGCAGATGATACGACATACGTTATATCAGGAAAAAATAATGATGATTTAAAAATGTCTCATGAGGAAGTTACTACTAAATCTAGCTCATGGTTTGCTGCAAACAAACTAAAACTTAATTCTGATAAAACGCAAAATATGGTTATATCTGCAAGTAATTTACACAATGATCTAGTTAACAAAGAGACTGTTAAACTATTGGGAATAACCATAGATAATCGACTCAACTGGTCTGCTCATATCTCACACCTTAAGAAACAGCTATCCAGTTCATTATTTGTTATTCGCCAACTAGCAAGGGTTGTCAACTTTGAAACATTAAAAATGACATATTTTTCTTTATTCCACTCTCACCTAAACTATGGTTTAATTATATGGGGCAATTCAACAAATGCACTTCAAATTTTTAGAATACAAAAGAAAGCTGTCAGGATTTTAGCAGGGGTTAGTTATCTAGAACACTGCCGACCTTTCTTTATCAAATTCAAAATTATGCCGCTACCTACTCTGTTGATATTTCAAGTTTTAACTCAAATTCACAGAAAACGTGCCCATTTAATAAAGCAGTCTGATGTCCATGTTCACAATACGCGAAACTGTCACTACCTACGAACAAATCGCTGTAGATTAAGTCTTTCAGAAAAAAATAGTCTTAATTATAACTATTACAATATTTTACCAAAAAGTATAAAAGAGCTAAGCTGTAATAGTTTCGATAAAGTTATAAAAAAATATCTTTTAAAACATTGTTTTTACTGCTCAGAAGAATATATGACTCATTGCAGAACATCCACTGAACTGCTTACCGTAACTTTGCCATAAATATTTTTCTGTTTAATATGTTTTCATGTTTGTATTATTTAATGTTTTATCATTTAATACTATGTATGTTTTTTTTTTGACTTGCTACAAACAATATTTGTATATGTTATGTAGTTAAATAAATACTCTACTCTACTCTACAGACCTCTAAATCACATACAAACAGTTAAATCACATAAATTCCTTATTATTACTGACTCAATCAATTCCCTCCATATACTGTCAAAAATGTACACCTGCAACCCGATGATTGCTAAATTAATTTAAAAAAAGATGCAGCACCTGAAAAACAAAACATTAGTTTTCGTGTGGCTACCATCACATATAGGCATTGAAGGAAAGGAACTAGCTGATAAAAATGCTCGAAAAATAGCAAATTCTCCAAATATCAGACCGATAAGAAAACCATGTGCAGAAGATCTTAATCCGTATTTAAAACAAAAGTTGATATGTAATTGGACTAAATGTAAAGAAGAAAAATTCTCAAAGTTAAAAGAAATTAAACCAAATTTTGGACGATGGAGTAACAATGTCCCTAGCCGTTTCCTTCAGGTTGTATTAACCAGACTCCGATTAGAACACATCAAACTCACACATGAATATCTCATGAAGAAGGAACCTCAACCAAAATGTACGAGTTGTGACGTGCTGTTAACAGTGAAACACGTATTAACGGATTATCCCCAATATACTGCTGAAAGACTGACTAATAAAACTCCATCAGTTATAAGAGATATTTTTAGTGAGTGTAACAGTGAAAATATTGTGAAATTTTTAAGAGACTCTAACATATTGATCCACACATAAGTATGTTATTTATTAATTATTTGTAATTAGCATTGTTTTACATTAAATCCATCCACTAATAACCAACCAATATGGTTGATGCGGCTGTTTTTTAATATATAAAAAAAGGAAACTAAAAGCCTAATTCAGAGTACAATATTTCCAATAATCAGTCAACGATGTTTTAAATAAATATGTATATGTATATAGATATAGACATCTCAGTAGAAGACAAAGATATTGAGCCAGTTGACTCCTATAAATACTTGGGCCATGAGATGAGAATAATTCGAGACAACCAAACAATCGAGCTGAAAAGAAGAATAAACCTCGCATGGGCTGCATTTGGAAAGATGAAGGATGTTTTTAGGTCTAAGAGTCCAATGTGTCTGAAAAGAAAAGTATTTAATCAGTGTATTTTGCCAGTGGTGACTACAGCGCAGAAACCCTAACACTCACAAGAATAACAGTGAGTAAACTTCAAGTTGCGGAAAGGGCAATGGAGAAAATAATGTTAGGGATTTCTCTGCGTGATAGAATACCCAATGCTACCATACGCAAAAGATCAGGAGTAGCAGACGTTATTGAAAGAATAACAACACTAAAGTGGAACTGGGCAGGTCATGTAGCAAGATCAGTTGATGACCGGTTGACAAAAAGAATTTTGGAATGGAGACCCCGAATACAAGCTAACAGAAATAGAGGTCGACCCCCAACAAGATGGACAGATGACATAAAAAGAGTGACTACAAATTGGATTCAGATGGCGCAAAATCGGACTAAGTGGAAAAGCATGCGAGAGGCCTATGTTCAGCAGTGGACGTTAGAGGCTAGTTGATGATGATGATATAGAAATCTGATTTTCTGTAACAATTACCAAAATTTAAATGTCGATTCGAACTAACCACGGCACGTAATTGGCATGTACTTCTAAAAAACATCAGCCGGCAAAGTCTTAACTGCTGACAATAAACCTAGTCTAGATAAAAAAGTTTCTCAAAAAAGTTATGATAGATGTTAAAGAGAGGCTAATGTTATGACGTTTGTGCAATAGTTATTTAGGTTATTTTGAATACCCCTCCATATTACTTGCATATACATTGACTACTTAACGCAGGAATATAGTAAATTCATGCATACAGTTGGCACAATGTCATTTATTTTGAGTGGAACAGTTATTTAGATTATTTTTTATATAAATCCATACTGTTTGCATATAAGTTGGATACTTATCGAATACATTATTATACTGATACAAACAAACCGCAAATTGTCATTAATTTGAATTTGTGGTAAAATACTTCATAAAATTTTGTACGGAGCTATACCACTACAATTAAATTGTGTTCAAAATTTGATTTGATACAAACATCATTATGGATATAACAACAATCCTAAAATGTAATTTTCATTACAATCATTTGTGGCTTAATCCCATATAAACATGATATTTAGTATATAGTAATATTCTGATTATAATATTGACGTTGTATTTTGCCAATATTGAATTTGTATTATTCTGAAAACTACTCGCAAATTTAATTATCTGCCATTTGAAACTGTTAATAAACAGATCTAAATATTATAGTTAACACTATTAGTTAGTTATTTTGATAGAGAAATAGATATATTTAAGAAAAAAATAATTACCAATATATGAAGCCTTCCATTTTCACATCTATAAGCGTAGCATCCAGATCCCCAATGTACCCACTGCCTCACTTGCTTACACGATCTCTCGTCCCACAGTTGATTGGTGTGTTCAAAGCAACGGGATTTTTCACCGTATTTTTCCAAAGCAAAATTCATGTCAGGAGCTAAAGAGTAACAGGATTAAAAAGTAATATCGGAAAAATATCAAATTATTTTAACGAAATATACGAACCTAAAAAAATACTGTTTTTAATTTGAAGTTTTCAGGCATGAGCGCCGCCAGGATTTACTTAATAACCAATATAAAAAAGAACTACAAGTATATAGCATGTGGATAATACTACCCTCCTAAGGAAAACCACAGCATCTGCAGTACTTATAACAATGAGTAAATGAGCTTCAAAGAATTTGCAACTTTTAAAAAGGGCAAAAATTGTTACAACAATGCGGTTAGAAATGATTTTACTTTTTATCAATAAATTTGTAAATAAAATATGTTTAAAAAAGAGGAGCAGTAGTTTATCCTAATTTTATGCTTACTATGGCAGATACTGGGAAAAAATCGTAGGTAATATTAGGAATTGCTAAGTAAACTACAGCATTTACGAATGTTATTTTTGCGGTGTTTTTTTGTAACAGAATGTGGAGAATGAAGAAAATACAAACAGCAAAATAAGTTTTTGAGTAATTTATTAAAACTATATATTTAATAAAAAAACCATTATTAGACCAGATAAATCGTAACAAAAAAATTTAATACAAAAGAAAAAAAAATGAAATAGAAATAGAATAGAAAGAAATCATCTTATCTTTATCTTCCTCAAGGTTTTGCCAAAATTATAATCTATTTGAAGGCATTATAGTTTTGAGACTTTTAATAAGGGTTACTTTTTTATTTTTTAAAACTGCATATAGAGATCTAAATGCCTGAGGTCTGGGAAGTTTTTTTAAACTTTGTTTTGAACAAAATTAATTCCAAACATACTATCGAAGTTATTTGTTAACTCGTACTTTAGAGAAAAAGATCACCTGTTGGCAACAATTTCTTCTTTTTTCGCTAAGTAAAGACGACTCTCTATTTTTTAAATTTTTACTTGGGACGCGAAATCTCGCCACTTAAAAAAAACCTGTATACTGCATAGTTTTTCTTCTTCGTCGCGTGCCATATCAGAATTATCCGACATTGGCGATCACCATTGCGAAAGCTTCTCGATCTTCTGCAATATGGAATAATTGTCCTGCATTTGGTATCTGAGTCCATTCACGAATGTTTTTTAAACAAGAAACTTGATTTCTTCCTACCCCTCTACGGCCCTCTATTTTGCCTTTAAGGATCAGTTGTAAAATTTTATATCGACTTTCCCTTACTATATGTCCCAGATAAGACATTTTTCGATGTTTAACAGTCGTTAGCAGTTCTCTGTCTTTGTTGACGCTCCTTAGTACTTCTTCATTAGTTTTTCTTGTTGTCCCAGGTATCTTCAGCATTCGTCTATGAAGCCACATTTCCAATGCTTCAATTTTGTTCATGATCGATGAATCATGTAATGTAAAAAGAAAGCATTATATGAGCTAATTATTTCTTCTGTTCCCATCCAGTAATACCATCATGCCATAGGCATGCAAACGGTTTTTGTTTTTTTCCTCTAGCCAGGGGTACACAGCTTTCATTAAATGTCGATATCCTTTGAGTAAATATTGCTTTCTTAAACATATCGATTCTTAGTAATATTATGACTTTTTGTCAGTCAACATAGACTTTAAGGGTCGTTCATGTATCTGGTTCATTTCATGACTAAGTGAATTGATCATCAGCATCTAAATGGAAAACTTATTTAGTACAAATGGTGGAAATTAACATTTAAAAACCTACATTGAAAATGTTCAGTTGGTCCTAGTGGTGAAGAAACACTATCATAAATATGTTAAAAATATTAAAAAATACATTTAAAATTTTAAATAAAAACATTACAACACAAAAGGGTATTTTTTCAAATATAACACAAAAACCAACAAAAACCGCAACTTCATGTTAAAGGTAGAAAAGAAGAATTTTCTTCTTTTTTGATAACAATGTTTCTGATTTCTGTCAATATCTCGATGTCATATGTAACAAGGTTATATTTACATATGTACCTCATGCAATAACATGGAAGTTAAAAAAAATCTTTTAAAGAACCAAAAGTGTCGAGCGGATAGCCAAGCGGGCTGGGCGGCTGGCTTCTCCTTCGCTTCTACGTTACAATCATCTGGCCATTGTCCTGTCTTCCATTTCTTAAGTGCTTCAGCCGTCATTACTTCTTCTCCTTGAGATTTTCCAGTTTTTAATTTTTTTATTGCGGTTTCTATTTCCGATTTTAAAATATGTGGTTCCTTTTCGTCATTTATTTCTTCTGGATTTACGTTTTCATGGTCACTATGAAAAAATATTTCACAATATTGTTTCCATGCCGCTACTATGCCCTCTGGATTGGTGATGATCGTTCACAAGTTATCTTTAATTATCTGCGTTTGTGGTTTGAACTCTAGTTAAGTATTTTACTTTGGCAAACAGTCCTCTAGATTCTTGACGGTCAGCGTTTTCTTGTAGTTGTTTGCATATTTCTTTAATATGATTATTTTTGTCTCTTCTACTTGATGATTTTATACGTCTGTTTACATTTGCTATCTTGTTTTCAGTTTCTGTTGGATTTGAAGCATTGTTTCTAATTTTTCTTCGTTCTTCTACTAGGTTCAGTGTCTCATCAGTCATCCAATGTTTTTCGTTCCTTGGGATTTCTTTGGGGTTTGTAATATTTATTGCGTCTATAATCCACGTCTTTGTATGTTCCCATGTTTGATTAGGATCGACAGTAATGTTTGGTGTGACTATGTCTTTTTGTTTTGTTTCTATAAATGGTTTTATTTGTTTCGGTTTTTTTACGGAATTCCGATAGTAACAGTTTATGTTCTATTCCGCAATTAGCCGCAATGAGTGGATATTTTATTTAAATATACCATACAAACTAATTTCCTCTTATTTTAATAGTAAAACGGAGAAAATAATTAATATGGAGAGTGTAAAATGGTTGTTAGGCGAGTTACGACCTTTTTCTACAAAGAGTCATGTTTAATCTGAAGGTTGTATCTCAATCAAACTCTAGATTTTCAATAGTTAATAAAATTCCAAAATATACATTTCAAAGTAATCCCTTATTATGTTATAAATATCGTATTGCATAAGTGTAAAAGATTTTAATCATTTCGCACCTAATAATTAAAAAAAAATGTTTTCGTTTTTTTGCCTCTCCTGTAAAATCGCTAAAAATGAGTTACAACCTTGTTCGATTGGGGTGTCGATTTAATATAATTTTCTGGGGGGTTGCTAGTTTACGAGATACGGCACGAAAACCCTTTGCAGTATTTAAAATATAACATAACATACAACAGGGTACTTAAAAATATATTCAATTTTCAATTTTTTTTGTTTTTTTTTTTAAATTTCAATTTGTACCATTATAACCGACAATTAATAAGTTTGATAGTTTTTAGTTGTATTTTGTGAAAAAAGTAACTTCTTCTTTAAGTGCCATCTCCGCGGCGGAGGTCGGCAATCATCATAGCTATTCGGACTTTTGAGATAGCTGCTCTGAAAAGTTCAGCATGGGGATGTAGAACAGACACAGCTCCAGGAACAACTCTACTAAGATACTGTGAAGACAGAGATAGGATGTTATTCGCTCCAGATGAACCAACAAGAATAAATCCAATAAGAGGACAAAACAACTCAACACTGGATCTTTTCATCACCAAAGATGTAATAATGGAAGACGTCAGGACCTACTTCGAATGCAGTTCGGATCACAAACCAGTAATAGGAAGAATGACATCAAGAGTCGACTTGCCAAGAATAGAACCAGTGGAAAGATGGAGATGGAAAGATGCTAACTGGCCTAATTACAGAAGACAGCTCAACCAAATGGAAATGAAGAGAGAGTTCCAATCAATAGAAGAAGTAGAGGAAAAAATAGAAGAAATCACAAGAAGAATTCAGCGTGCCATGGAAGCCAACATCCCAAAATCCATGACGAACAACAGAGGTCTGGTCATCCCAGCAGAACTTCAGAACCTCATCAAGGACAGAAACAAGGCCAGAAGAGCATTCCAAAGAACCAGAAGACAGGAATTCAAGGAATACGGAGACATCCTATCTGAAGAAATAAGAGTAAGACTGAGAAGTCTTACTGAAAATCAATGGCACAACAACATCAGAAGAGCCGAAGAAAGCCACGGAAACGTTTGGAAAATGTTGAAGGCAAGAAGAAGAGGAAAACAAAAGATGCCACAAATCATGGACAACGAGGGAACATACTACGAAACCCAAGGAAAAGTAGATGCAATTTCAAGGAAGATGGCAGCCACACACAGACAAAACCAGGATATGTCGGATGCAAGAACAAGGAGGCAAGTCGAAGAAGAATACAACAGGATCACAAGAAGAAACGAATTCCATATAGACGAAGAAGACCACACCAGCCCAAGCGAAGTTGCAAAAATCATCAGGAAGCTAAAAGGAAGCAGAGCACCAGGAAAAGAAGGAATCCACAACATCACCCTCAAGGAACTCCGAAGAAGATCATAGTACAACTGTATTACATCTTCAAATACTGCCTAGAAAAAGGACATTTTCCGAACAACTGGAAACACGCCAAAATCATACCCCTACTGAAGCCAAGGAAAGATGGAAGAAGACCAGAAAGCTACAGACCCATATCACTCCTGGAATCGATGGGAAAAATCCTGGAAAAAATCATGTACAAGAGACTGATGAAACACACAGAAAGAAGAGGAATTATACAAGAAGACCAGTTCGGATTCAGAAAAGGAAGAAACTGCGAACTCCAACTAGCAAGAATATTCAGCGAAGCGAAGATAAAATTCAACAGAAAACAAAAGACAGGATTAGCCATACTGGACTGAAAAGCATCGACACGGTTTGGAAGAAGGCATTAATCTACAAGATGGACAAGGCTAGACTTCCGCACTATTTAATTAATATTTGTGATATTTATTTATCTAATAGAACTTTTCAGGTTGCAGCTGACCAAAAGATGTCAACGATCCAACAAATCCAGGAAGGGATGCCTCAGGGCAGCATTTTATCACCTATATTATATAACATTTT